AGGTCATAGGTCATTGATGAAGCAGTTGACAATGGTTGAGCCTAGGACACGACCCTGAGGAGCTCCTGCGGAGTTGTCCTGGACCAGAGATGATTAACCTGACGGAACTCTAACAAGTGTAAATTAAATTTCTATTACTATAATCTGCAGGCAGCAGTGTTAAATATCAATATATAATAAATGCTTAACCGACAATGTGCTTAATAGATTATGATGAATTGGATTAAACAAATTATTTCTCTGTTCAAATCTTTATTTACTGCACCTGTAAAAGAATAAGTCCTTTGCCAGCCATTTGGTTCCGATTATTTTAAATATAACCTCATAGGTTTCTAGCGCTTTCAGGTGGACACCAATGGGAAGTGCTGGATGTAAGCACTGAGCAAGCCTTTTGCTGATGATCAACCTTTTTGGCAGAAGGGAATACTTCAAATTGCTCTGAAGTGCCTGCAGAAATAGAAGATTAAAAAGGCAACACTTAAGTCTTTTTTTTGAAAAAGCAGCAAATTACCGGATCACAAATGCAAATTACAAGTCAACAAACTCAAATTTATCCATACAAGACCAGCAGATATATGAGCAGAATTAGACCATCAAACCTGCTCTGCTGATAATGTTTCTCAACACCATTCTCCTGTCTTCTCCTCATAACACTTGATCCCCTTACTCATCAAGAACATATCTCTGTCTCAAATAGCTCAATAACTTGGCCTCCACAACCTGCTACGGCAAGGAGTTTGGCAGGTTAAACCACTCTGGCTGAGGGAATTCCTCCTCATCTCAGTTTGAAAGGGCCATTCCTTCACTCGAAGGCTGTGCCCTTGTTTCCACTGGTAGGAGAGACTAGGATCCATTATCTCTACATCCACTCTATCCAGGCCTCTCAGTACTGTAAGCTTCAATGGAGATAGTTGCATTCCCAACATCGACCCCTGTGGAATTCCACTTCTCACTGGCTGCCATCCTAAAAAAAACCCTTATTCCTACTCTCTGCGTTCTGCCAGTCAGCCAATCCTTGATTCACACCAGTAGCTTGCTCCGAACACCATGGGCTATCATCTTATTTAGCAGCATACTGCATGGCACCTTGTCAAAGGCCTTCTGGAAATGCAAACAGATCATGTCCACTGGCTCTCCTTTATCTAACTTGCTCGTTACCTCCTCACAGAATTCTGAATCTAAGATTCTAATCTTACCAAGGATCAGGCTAACCACTCCATAATTTCCTGGATTCTGCCTCCTTCCCTTCTTAAAACAGGGATGTTACATTCGTCATTTTCCAGTCCTCTGGGACCCTCTGACTCCAGTTATGCCTCTGCAATTTCAACTATCTCCTTCAAAACCCTGGGGTGTAGTCCATCCTTGCCTGGGTGATTTATCCATCTTCAAACCTTTCAGCTTACCGAGCATCTTCTCCTTAGTGATGGCCACTACACTCATATCTCCCCCACTGCCCCTCATGAAGTTCTGGTATGCTGCTTCCACTGTGAAAACGGATACAAAGTACCTATTCGATTTCTTTGTTTCCTATTATTACTTCTCCAACAGTTCAATGTCCACTCTTGCCTCTCTTACATATCTAAAATAATCTCTAATCTTCCTTAGAATTAGCTAGCCTACTCTCATATTTCATCTTTGCTCCCCTCATTGCATTTTTTAAGATATCCTCAACTGGATTTTAAAGGCTTCCCAATCCTCTGAATTCCCACTAATCTTCACTACATTGTAAACTTTTTCTTTTATGCTGTCCCGGAATCCCTTTGTCGGCTATAGCGGTCTCATCTTCTCCTTAGTATGTTCTTCGGATGAATTGCTGCTGTGCCTCTCTAAATACCGCCAGAAACCATTGCCACTGCTGCTCCACTATCCTCCCTACAAGGTCCCCTTCCAATCTGGCTCCTCCCTCATGTCTTTTCAGTTACCTTTAATTGTAATACCGTTACATCTGATTCCAGTTCTCCCTCTCAATCCGCTGGGTGAATTCTATTGTATTATGGTCACTACCTCAAGGGGTTCCTTCACCTTAAACTCCCTAATCAAGTCTGCCTCGTGACACATCAAATTCAGAATTCCTTAGTGAGCTCTATTACAAGCTGCTCAAAAAAACTAAGACATTCCAAGAATTCCTTTGCTTGGGATCCGCTACCAACCTGATTTTCCCAGTCCACCTGCCTATTGAAGCTCCCCATGATTATTGTAATACTAACTTTCTTATCTACAGATTTATTTTCTTCCCTACATCTTGACTACTGCCAGGAAGCCTGTACACAACTCCCATCAAGCTTTCCTCCTCCTGTAATGCTGCTTGGCCTGCTGTGCTCATCCAGCTCTACACCTTTTATCTCCCCATCAAGGTTTTTTTTTTTTTTTTTTTTAAAAACTTTGTATTTCTACCCATACAGATTCGATCCTTTCCAACTCTCACTTTTTGCTATCGATTTAGTTTCAATTCTTTACCAACAAGGCAACACCACCCCTACAACCCGTTACTTTCGATACGATACTTATCCTTGGATATTTAGTTCCCATACCAGATTCCCTTTGCAACCCCTCTGTGATACCCACAACATTGTACCTGTCAATTTCAATATGCACGACAAGCTCATTTACCTTCTGTTGCTTCATTTAAATACAACACTCTCAGTCCTGCATGGACTACCCTCCTTCTCTAGTTGTCCACTGTATATAAAGTTAGATTCCTGACTAACACTTGTCCTAACACTTGCTCTGGAAACTTCAATAACCTCTTCCGAGCTCCCCAACAGCCCCGCTCCCCTTCAAATTTTTCCACAATTTTTCAAGCAACTCAATTCTCCCTCTCACTATTTAGTTTAAAGCCCTCTCCACAGCCCCAGTTATGTGATTCGCCAGGACTGGTCCCAGCATGATTCAGGTAGAGCCCGTCCCATCGGAACAGCTCCCTCCTTTCCAAGTAGTGGTGCCAATGTCCCATGAATTCAAACCAGTTTCTCCCACAATCTTTGACCACATGCCTCCAGTGGATGGAATGGTGTTTGAATAAAGCACAGCAGGTAGTGGCCAAGATCAGACATAAAATAACCTCTTCCTTGGTACCAATCACCCAAATATCAACTGGCACAGCAACCAAAGAAAGGCAGAATGGGAAGCGCATTGACCAAAATCAAAGGCAGAATGGACACAGCAGGGACAGCAAGTTGGTCAGAAGGTCAGACTGGAAACAGTAATTTCTAGAGACAACAAGGTGCACAGCTGGATGAACACAGCAGGCCAAGCAGCATCATAGGAGCAGAAAGGCTGACGTTTCGGGCTAATTTCTAGATGTTTTGTTGCAGTGGACAGATATGAATTGCAGTAACACTGGTGCCAGTATTGCAACCATAGCTTTTAAGAAATATTGTTAATAGTGGAGGATGCTATAAGCAAATTCATATTCAGTTTTGGTAAGGCAAGTAACTTTCACTTCATCTGCAGGTTTTATCCAAGTTATTTAGATGAACACTTGAAACACCATAGTTTCAAGGCAACGGGCCAAGTGCTGGAAAATGGGATCAGAACAGTTGGCTGTTTGATGACTGGCATAGACATGATGGGCCAAAGTGCCACTTTCCATTCTCTAAGAACTCTATGACTCAGTTGTCCAAAATAAAAAAAGTTAGTTATTTATGATCAGATGAGCATCCTTCTTTTGTCTCACTTGGTAAACCATGAACAACAGCGAAGCACAGCCAGTCTTGGCAGCTAGAGTTTCCACTCTACGTAAAGTGTCAGCAACTAGGTAATAATTTCCCCAAATTGAAAAGCTTAACTAATTAAAAATTAAACTGCTTTGAACCTGTTAAAAAACAAATGCCCGTTTGGACATTGTACCTGCTTGAGTGCTATGATCAGAATTGGAGGTCAGGCTCAGACTCCAGATTTCAGCACTCATTACATCTCCAGGAATGCAGCTAAGTGGTAATGACAGCTTCTTTTTTAAGAAAAAAAAAGCAAATACATAAAAGGAGAGAACCTACGATTACAGAGAAGAAATCAAGGACAATTTCGGTTCTATAGTTAAACAAAAATAAGGTTAACTTCACATCATCCTGTCTGAAAATTAAAGTGGCTCTACCCACTGAAGCATCTGTATCCTTCTTCAGGGCGGTTTTCCAGTTTAAATCGAGAGACAATGGTTTGTTGCCAGCCAAAATGGTCTTTTGTTGTTGCTTCAAGGAAGAGCAGCCCTGATACATATTTGGGTTATAAAACTTTGAAATCCATCCCAAGGAGATTCTGAAACTGGGAAATCAGCAAGAAAGATCTGCACGGACCAGCCACGAGATAAATTGGCCCCTTACACCCTCAGCAACCCAGAGGGGCAAGCCAATACCTAGTGGCTCCCAGGCCTCTTCACATACCACACGCAGCAGCATAGGAAATGACAGGGGAGGCGATGGCCTAGCGGTATTATCGCTTGACTGTTAATCCAAAGACTCAGGCAATGTTCTGGGGAAATCAGGTTCGAATCCTGCCATGGCAGGTGGTGGAATTTGAATTCAATAAATATCTGGAATTAACAGTCTAATGATGAGTGAATCCATTGTTGATTGTCAGGAAAAACCCATCTGGTTCACTAACATCCTTTAGGGAAGGAATCTGCCATCCTTATCTGGTCTGGCCTACATGTGACTCCAAACTGCCCTCTGGGCAATAAATGCTGCCTAGCCAGCAACGCCCTCATCCAGTGAGTGAATCAAGGAAAATAAAACTTCAGTGCTGCATTATCAAGACAGAATTTGTTCAAGTAATTTATTTGCAGAACATGGATGCGCTAATGAGTCTCTCAAAATACTTTGAGCAACTTCCTGGAGGGTCTTCAGACTAAAAATTGCAAACCGTTCCTGGATACAGCTGCAAAATACTGCAGATGCTGAAAAACCACAACAAAACAGAAAATGCTCAGTGTCTGTGGACAGAGAAACAAGAGATTATGTTTTACATTGCTAACCTTCAATTACAAATCTAAAGAAAGGTCTTAAAATATGAATTAAAACATTAACACCAAGACTTTTCATCAGGATTTCTAATGTCAGGCCATTGACCTGACATATTAACTCTGTCTCTCTCTTCACAAAGAAGCTGCTAGTGTCAAGTCGCCGTACTCTTACCAGAGCATAGGGCCACACTTTCATGAGAGCGAGGCGCCTGGTGGTGGTGTAACCAGAGGGTCACCACATCACAGGCAAGGGGAGAGGTGGAGGAAGGGGGGTGCTTCATGGTAACCTCAGTCAGTGCAGTAATTGAACCCACACTGTTGGCTTCAGTCTACATTGCAAACCTTGGTCCTTCATGGTAACTTCAGCTAGTACAGGAATCGAACTCACGCTGTTGGCATCACATGGCTTGGCCAACCAGCCAACTGAGCTAAACTGACCCTCACTGTTAGTGTAAGTGATTATAGCATCAGACTAGTAATCCAGAGGCTC